AAATTGAATGGCTTGAAAAAATATCAGCATTTTCTTTTTGAAGCAGCTAATCCTGGAATTGTCAAAACTCAAATAGTTGCTAATGGTTCGTATACTGAATTTAATTTATTGAAAACAAGGAAAGTGAGCATTTCCAAAATTACCAAAGAGATCAAATTTTTTTCTATTTTGGTTCCAATAGTAATGACTTTGTGACTGGTGCATGGAAACAGAACATAACATGTTAGCTATCCATTTTACTTACTCATCCTTGATCAATTTTATTTTAACATGTTTCTAGTATCTTTGAATCTCTTTCTTATTCTGTCTCACTGTCAAACTCTGTGCTTGCAGATCATATACTGATATAAAAGCCAGTAGTCAATTTGTATCTTTCACAGATCTCTCATTTTTGGAAGAACTAAGTTGCACAAGGTTGATAAAAAATTCAGTGAAATTTCAGAACCTGTACTTGATCAACTTCTGATCTCCATGTATCAACAGCCATAGGGTCAAGAAATGTACCAAAAATTAGCTGAAGTCTTTGAATTGGTAGTGAACTGGGACAAATGGCATGGCAGTCAGCAAGGTGAAGATTATGCAGATCAATATCTAACATATTAATATCCAGATTGGAGGCATTTATGCAATGATGAACGTCCCACCATTGAATTTACAAAATGCTGGGCATTTGAGTCAAAAGGGATCTGGCAACCCCATGTATTGAACAGTTCACTTGTTCAGTGCCAGAGGTACTCTAGACGATTTTTCGAAAATGATATGAACCGTCAGTACAAATACAAATATCATTATTATTATTATTATTGGGATATTAATATGGGAGGACATATTGATATAGGTTGTGGTATTATAATTAGTATACATATCATGCCGAACATGGAATGGCAGGTGGTCTGACAAATGATTATTCTTGGAATCAGACTACTTTCGAGATCCTAGGACGTGTATTTAAGACTTTCAAAGAGACCAATCTTCGCACAAGTGCTGACATGAGCGGCCAGATCAGTAGGCCCTAAACAGAGCTTTCTATGAGGTGATCGTGAAATGGGCCAAAAAGCTTTCCCCATTGCACCTTCTGATTGTGTCAACCCCATTGGCGACATAGAAGTACAACGGCTCTTGGGCACTGGGTCGAATACTGTTGTTTTTGAAGGACTGACTGCGAACAATACACGAGTTGCAGCGTGAAGCGGATACATTGAAGAAACTCAGCGAGGTTAAAGGCATCCCAGCATTGTTATATGAAGACTTTGACAGCATGGTGCCGTACATTGTCACTAGCATGGTCGGTCAGAGGGTAACCAAGACTGATGTACCAATACCAACTGCATGTAATATTATAGTTGACATTCTTGAAGTGCTGAAAAGCCTTCATGATCACCACTACATCCATAACGACATCAACCCTGGCAACATCGTGAAAGTTGGCAACAAATTCCGACTGATCGATTTTGGCCGCGCAGTGATAAAAGAGATACTGCCCCGAACGACTGGTCAAATGGTCACATAATATTTGCATCGCACCACTGGGGCAAATGTCTTGGAGCTGGCGACGACTTAGAAGCTCTTTGCTACACTGTTGCATTTATACATAATCAAGACAAGGAATATTAGCGCACTGCTGCTAGGGACCCATTCAAGGCCCTCCATAAAAAAGAAAAGTTTCAGAAATTCTCTGTCTCTTTGACAATTTTCCGCGAGTGTTCAGATATTTTTTTTTATTATGTCTATGAGCTAGACATTACTGCAATGCCAGATTACGAGTACTGGCACAAAAAATTTACCTCTACTGTTAGTAATTTTTCACTATCCAGAAAACGTGGCCATGAAATACCACTATCGGAAATTTCGGAAGAGAAATCTAGTCGACAACTTCGAACTTGAACAGTTTAGATAGAGATAGTTTATGATTCGCTGTAGCTTTTGTATGGTTATTTGACCAGCGTCGATACATATTGCAATAGTATTACATAAAAAAAATTATATAAAAAAATCCTTTTAGAGATAGGCAGTTCGATAGAGGCTTAACATTACTTTGCCTTCTCTCTTCTCTAAAAATTGGTGTTCTAAACATGAATAGAACATTGTTATGCTTAGTTTAATCAGCTCATCTACCAAACCTTTATTGTGATCTTTGTATAGTCTGCAGTAGCACCACTTCGTATATAAATAATTTTAATTTTGTGAGTGAGTTCAGATTGCATAGTTATTTGATTAATTTTTTTTGTATCAACGTGTGAAGATATAAATGCAATGTCAGAACTTAAACATCGATATACACTCAAACCGGTCGGTCAAAACTTGGAAAATGCCAGAACAATTTCCGTTGTGGATTTTTACGAACGTCAGCAAGTTTCAATTAAACGCGATTAATTCTGGGCTTAATTACAGCAAAATGCTTTATAAACTTGTTATCGGAATTGTGCCTTGGGCGAACGTAAAAGTGATAAAAAATATATATAGAATCACCCGTATATGAAAATTTATAATTATAATGGTTCGACTGAATACGAAAAAGCAATAAATTTCTTGGAGATAGGTTGCAATTGTGATTGCTCAACAAAGTTTGCGAGAGAAATTTGCCGAGTTACGTAAAGCGTTTCAAGCTCTCTCTAGATCTGAACAAGATATATTTTTAATGGCCCAACTGAAAGCGATGAATGGTGGCGAAATAACTGCCAGTCGACGTCTTAAAAAGAAAACGCGTACTAATAAGCGAAGCGGAATTGAAGAGACCACAGATATTAATACTGAGAACATTTACCCCAATTAACCAAAAAGAGGGAAAAGACTTTATTTTCGGATTAAAAAAAATGTTCGCCAAGCATAAGTTAATAGATCATGAGGGTCTTTTGAAGAAATAAGAGAACAAGAATATTCAACCACCAAAATTACCAATCACAAAAAAATTTCCCCAGGTACCAAAACTTCCCAAACCCGTTTAGTAAAGTCGGGTTTGTCAGGTATGAATTTCTCATTACTTTTCATATGTCATATTTTTTAATGTAGGATTATTTTTTTTCTCCATTCTGATAAAGTTTAACAAAGGCTTCTCTAACTTGTTTTTGAATAATGGGTCTAGTGCGAAACTGGCTCGTTCATAGTCAATCAATAAACCAAGGCCAATACGCTTTATGCCGGAAAACTGACGCAAAATAATGCGCATGAGTGCAAACGGAAAGACAAAATTTTTTTCTTCGGCCACATTATGGATGCAAAATTTTATGTTAGAACATTAAAGCAAACTTTTTAGAAATAAGAGAACGTGCTGGGAAGCAAATGGTGCTTCTCAACAGGATAATCATACCTCGCATACTGCAGAGGAATTTCTCCAAAACAATGTTTCAATGGTTTTGGACTGGCCCTCCAGCAGTCCTGATCTTAATTCTATCGAAAACCTTTGGAACATTGTTAAAACAAATGTGGAAAGGCGAAAACCAAACAACTGTAAGGAGTCGGAACAGTTTATGACTGAGGAGTGGAACAACATTCCAAATACTGTGCTAATTAATTAGTAAATTCGATAAAGCATCGATGTGAACTAATTATGATTATAGAAAAATAAAGGTGATCGCATCCATATTAAATAATAAATCAACAATCAGCTCCCTTTATATTTAAGCAGTCTAAGTTATATTATTTGGAGTAATATGTAACTTGAACATCACCGTATGAGAAGCTCGAATTTTATCATCAAGTACTCATACTCATATGTTTGATATGTTGATTGTTGAAATATTGAATAGGCCTTTATTCAAATAAAATTAAATAAACGGACTTAGTATTTGAAATCGAAATTACTTTCTTTCTTTCATCGTTGAAATATTAATTAACTAGGTAACAAAAGTTTTGAAATTTTTTATTTATTTGTTACTCAAAAACTACCGCATAAAACTTACCAAAAATAAAGCTCAAAACCTACTACTACAGATTTTATTGATATAAAATTAATAACATATTATTTTACTATTATAATTATTAGCTCACATCTTTTTGTCATTGATCCGATACAGTTAATTAGAATGTTGTTTATGTTCGAAATTTTATCCTATTCTTCCGTCATATACTGTTCTAATTCTGAAAGATTTCTAGACACACGCATTCTACATTTCTTTTGACAATATTCCAATGGGTATAATAATAAACGGCTCACATAAAAAGCTGCATAAACGGCTCACTTAAGCTGTAGCGACCGATACATAAACAGCTTATTTAAGCTGTAAAACATCCGTTTATCAATTACGCGAATAGCGGAACGAGAGTCTAGAATTAATATTGTAAATGATTGTCGTTTAATTAATTTTATAATAAGGCAAGAGAGATGTTTATCCCGACTAGTCGACATACTAATAATCAATTCTATGGTATGATAATTGTTGCTTATTATATCATAAATACCCTTATTCAGATACAAGAAGTACATACATAGGGAGTGAAGAAGCGCGCACGTTACATAGTTAAATTAGACATTTGTAATTTCAGATTCAGTCGCAAAAGCAATCACCGGAATAATGGCGGTGAGCTGAAGATAAATTAGAACATCTTGTTATCGTACCTACGCGAAAGTATCGCTCTCCCACAACCCATGATCGCAGTACAATAATAAAAACATATAAACTTCAAATCCCTGACGCTGTGAGAGAGAGAAGATATGTATATCAAATTGAAGCTGCATGAGGCCTTTTAGCAACCAAAAAATGGCTCCACTGTTTTGGTTTTATAATTCAAACCCCGTTCTTTCTTTAACTTTTTATAATTTTTAAAAAAGAAGTGCCATTTTTGGTAGAGCGTGTGTTAGTGTCTATTACTACAGTTGCAATGGCGTAACTGCTTCCGTCAAAAGTCTTAGGCATAGTTTTAGTATTGGCTACTACTAACTATAATAATAATAATAACCGGAATTAAAAATATGGTAAATTTGTGTTACCATATAATAATAATAAATTGACCCCAGAAGGCGTGTCGAATTTTTCGCGTCAAAAAATACGATATCTGAAACAATGACAAAAGCTATGGTAGAAGCAGTTGAATGTTATCTTCGGGAAATCCCTCAGAGTGAATGGTCATGCGTTCACCGCTTACAGTATTTAATAATACAGCCTTTTATTACGTCCGAGAGCACGGAAGTAAGTATGGCAAGGGTAAATAAATCATAGTAATGGTTATAACATGCCTAAACAAATTAATTTACAAATGTTGTGTCGAAGTTTGGAGAACCGAGTCTATCATTGTCGGTTAAACTGTCCGATATAGATCCAGACTTTACAACTCTGCCAACCGATATTGCGCAAAAGCAAGATACCGAAGCTAATACAGAGACCGAGGAAACTACACTGAAGCAAGTTGCTGAAGAGCAGACTTGCAAAATTAGCGTGGTGTCTAGTGGAATTACACAGGAGCCTGAGAAGATTGAAACAGCTACTAATGTTATCGAAACAACTACTAGTGCATCCCAGACTGTAGCTGTCAAGAATCTTGTACAAGAGTTGGACGGCTATTTAAAGGTATGGCTTAATTGGACGATATATTTAAGAGAATTGATTGATCCGTATATATTTATGAAAGTGGATCGAACTTCTTTAGGATCCCTTGCAAGCGGCAACTGAACAGATTCAAAAACTTTTAAAAGCATTAGATAAATCGCATAGCGTTCTTGGGACGGTAACGGAACAATGTGATAGATTGCAAAAACGTCTTGATGAATCAGAAGTGGAAAGGAAGGCCAGTGAACGCGAAGCTTCACCATTGGTAAGTTAGTCGCTTTGAGTCTATTGTAAACATGCTACGGATAAGCAAGCTATATATTAAATCAGTTGCAGAGGACGAGAACCGATGAAGGAAATCATGATGGTTCGAATGCAGAAACGGTAAGGATGAAAACAAGTTCTATTGAAATCAAGTTTTGTGGAATATGCGAATATTTATGAAATCATTGATAACGTACGCAGATTGAATGTCTCGATGAATCGAAAGAGCTCGAAAAATTAAAAGAGGAAAATGAACGGCTTAAATTAGAATTACAAGCTTGTAAGGAGACCAGACCGTTTTCAAAAACGTACCTTCGAGGTAAAAGGACGTGGCAGTCATTGAATTTCAGCCGACCATTTAAATAATTGACGTTTCTTTTACCAGAATCGAAATCTAAACTGGAGGAAATTCGGAAAGACAGACTATACAGTAGACTTCAGTTGTCCAAGGTCGACGAAGCTGACTCGAAGATACTTGCTGATATAATAAAGGTACGCGCCTCTTTTTTTTTGATACATTGGTTCGTCTTTTTTGTCTTTCTAATACATGATTTTTTCATAACAGGAGCTTATGCTTACGTTAAAGCTCGAAAAGGTCGACCAGCTTGTTCCGACAATCGACAATTTGGACAAAACGATGCGTATTATACCTCAACTCCGAGAGTTTATCAATAATGTTGTCTACCTTGCGTCAAGTTATAATGGATATCGGACTGGTTTAAGCCATAGTTTTTTCAATTACAGATCTCCAGCACTAACGAGATCTCATAGTGCAAATACGACTTTGAGCAATCTGTTGAACGTGCCGTCTGAGCAGACCCTAAAGGAAACGTTGAATACTCTTTCACAGTGGAGAGATGCTGTAAGGGATATGGAAACGTTTGCTACGCAGTTATTGCAGACCTCGCATACTAATTGGAATAAGTACCATTAGCATTACTGATGTAGAGATGGCAGTCTCAAGGCGTATGTTCATTAGAGTGATCGATTTCATTGCAAGGTGAATAGTGACTATATTAAAAGTTAATAATATCCGTGTTATCAATATCCATTGTGTGATAATCAACAGATAGTAATGTTTTCAGTTGACTTCTACTGAATCAGCAGTCCTAAGCTATTCTTCTATTTGCCCACAACATAGTGGCAAGAAGATAACCTTACGACCGCACATTAGAATTTGGTTAATTATAACATCTAGTAAAGTGGTCTACAATAATCCGCGTTAAATTCGAAATATTTATAGTATTTAGTACAATTCATACACTGTTATTTATGACTGAAGAAAAAATTCAGGGCATTAAAGATGAGTATTGATAATACACAGGCAAACCAACAGGTAACCCATCGGGGCCATACAAAGACATCGACTAGACAGTTGATTCAGCCTACGAAGTACTTGATAATAATGTGGGCGTAGTACTGTCCAAACAAATCGTAGAAAAGACCCTTCTATCTTAATATCAGTATCTCTTTACGATCACCTTTATCATTCTGATTGTCTCTATCATTATTGTTCTTATTATCTCTATCATGATCAT